GGTTCGATTAACGGTTAAAGAAAAAAAATTTGATTAATTCGATTATGGTTAATTCAGTTCGATTCAGTTCGATTTTAACCGAATGAACAGCCTTACTCCTCACTGTTTAATTAGCTTTGTTCCAAAATTAATAATACATTAGATATTTAAAATTGAGTAATAATTAGATGTGTTAAAATATATTTTAAATTGCCAATTGAAATTTAACTTGATTTATGTTATTACTATTCTAATATCTTAACATTTTTATAATTTACATTAAAAAAATGTTTTCCTCATGGTGAGTGTTAGTTGGTTGATTTTTTTTAATAAAAATTAGTTGACTAAATTAATTCAACCAACTTCATTAGATTAATTCAGTGGATTTAAATATTTATTAATGGAGTATGTTGAATAATTTTAATGACTTGAAATAATATTTAATTATTTATTCTGTCTACTGACTACTTATTATTTAATTGGGTAAATTACGCATTTAATACCTAAGTTATCCACTTTTGATCCATTTTAGTACCTAAATTTTTATTTTTTTTCAAAACCATCTCTAACGTTTAGTTTTCATTTCGTTTTAATACCTCATCGTTAAGAACTTGACGTTTTTAGTACCTAAAATATCAGTTTTGATACGTTCTAGTACCTAAACTTTCAATTTTTTTCAAAACTAAAATTTAAATTTTGAATGGTGGTACTAAAATGAAACAAAAACTAAAGTTTTTAATGATGGGATGTTAAAATGAAACAAAAACTAAACTTTATATATTGTTTTTTAAAAAATTAAAAGTTTAGCTACTAAAATTGATAGTATAAGTCCTAAATGTGTAATTTTCCCTATATAATTTTAGATTAAACTAATCAAATTTATCGAGTGTTCACTTATTATTAATATATTTAACATAAGGCAGGTGAAGAATACTGATTTATTTGTTTCGATGACATAATTAATTGGCAATCGCGCACAATTTTTTTCCCATTTTTTAATAATAATAATAATAATAATAATAAAGAGTTATAACATAAAGTGATAAGCATGGTCCGACCATGTAGGGCTTGGCAGGCGTTCATGGTCGTGTGTCTGGAAATTCAATGGCTTTGCAGGTACTATAGCAACCGGAGTTTTTGAACAGACACTTGATGCCGCATCCAAACGCTGGATTCGTTAAACAACTTGCAAGGCAACTGAAAATGTCGCATTTTAAGTAGCAGGTTACGTTCCCGTCGTCTTCGGGGAGGCAACGGCGGTTCGGTTCCGAGGCCAACACATTCTCGGAGGTCGCCGCCGCCACCACTCCGATCCCAATCCCTATGCAGATGTTCAACAAGAGCAGTAGTGCCAGTGCCGTACTCGCCGACTCGGATCTCGGTCGAACACCCATATTTGTTGCGAATTATCAAGGAGCGTGATTGTGAATAAGATGGTATTTATAAGGTACGTAAGAGCTTGTGTTTATATGGGAATGCAAAGAGCCGATTACGTGAATTTAAACACGCTTCTTGGTATGTATCACACAATAGCGATGATGATATTATATGGTGGGCTTATTGGCTTTAGCTGCACTACAATGCTATAACTGGAGTTGATGTATGTTACATGCATGCAGTGATGTATTCAAAAATTTAATAATATGAGTATAAAATTTTAATATTATTTTATTAAAAATAACGGATATGCAAAACTTTATATTTTTTTTATTTTTTCTTAACATATTAAATTAAATTTCATATTTTGTTTTCTAAATAATAAGAATACACTTGATCTCTTAGGGGGTGTTTGGTTCAAAGATTGTGAGATTCCTATGGGATGGGAATCCCACATTCCCATGTTTGGTTGACCGAGAATCTCATTCTCGGTAATATTTTATTACCAATAGTAGATTTTTTTGGTATATTACCGGGAATGTCATTACCTCCATTCCCTTATGTATTGTAACATTACCGGCGTTTTAGACTAAAATGCCCTTAAATTTTTATTTTTTTTCAAAAATATCATTCTTCTATCATTGAATAATAAAAATTCTACGAAGGTTAAATTACAAATTTATCCTTAAATTATTTTAGATTTACAAAAAAAATCTATAATTAAAATTTTATATGAAGTTCAGGGATTAAATTTTTTTTTACCCTTTCATTAAACATTTTTTATATTTTTAATTTTGTAAAAAAAAATTATATAAATATTATGAATTTAATTTTTTAAAGAAAATATATAAATATTTTACAATTTGTAATATTATACAAATATATAATAAGGATAATTTGGTCAAATATACATTTCAATAATCTTTTATTTCTTTAACCAAATACGCTGATCTTACATTCCTGCTAAACCAACTAAACACAAAATATAACATTCTCAGTAATCCTATTCTCTGATAATCTTTTATTCCTACTAATAATCTTACATTCCGTGAATCAAACGCACCATGAGATTAACACTTGATGTATATAGTAGCTCTGAATTACTTTTGTCGGGATTATTGGAATTATGATTTAATGGACCGGGTTGATGTTATATCATTTCGCTTATTTCTGTGTATATTTTTTTTCCAATTTGATATTTAAAGTATGTATTAACTATACAGATGATCATTTATGTTAATATTTTATCCACTTTTGATTATTGATTTTAAAATATATAAGATATAATCATATTCGTTTTTATTTAGCCAATATATAATCACTTTTGTTTTTATTTATTTAAGAATTGGTCACCACGAGTTATCTACCGTTAACAATTAACAGATTAAGTGACATGATATTTTGATATAATCACACATTTGATCTCTATTATGTACATATTATCTCAATTTAGTCATTATTTTAATAAATTAAAATAAATTTAATCCTCCAATCGAATGATGTCATGGGTCACTGGTGTCGTGCGTTGTGCCACATGTCACCATTCGGTTCGATGACTAATATTATTTTAATTTATTTTAATTTAATATATTTATTTTTCATCAATTTGCTTTGCTTTGTAAAAATAAAATAAAATAAAGTTAATCTTCCGATCAAATGGTGACACATGACACGACACATGGTATTAATGACAGTAGCATCATTCTATTTCTATTGGAGGACTAAATTTATTTTAATTTATTAAAAGTATGACTACATCGAGAGGATTTATAAATAATATGGACCAAATGAGGGATTATTCCAAAATATTTAACGACAATTAACTCGTTGTGATCACATCTTACTTAAATAAGAACGAAGTTACGAAGGTGGTAATATCTTATGTATTCCGAAATCAATGACTAAAAGTAGACAAAACACAAACATAAATAATAATCCCTCTAATTAGCCATTAAAATATTTTTGTTAGTCATTTTAATCAATAGGATAACACTCTATATTCAAATGATGAAAAATTTGACGATGGACTAACGTATGGTGAGAATGAGTATATATTTAATGTTAGAAATATAATATTCTAACAAATTTGAAATGCCATAGTAATCAGATAAAATTTCATGAGATATTTATTTTTCTATCTATTTTTATTAGTAATTTTGTATTGAATACTTAGTTAAATATTTATATATTTTTAAAGATTTTTTTGTTATTTTTTATAATAATTAATATTATTTTTAGAATTTAAAGTTATATGAATGTCTATTTATAATTTCACGTTATTTTGTTGAGTCTCTTGACTATTAAAAGTTACAAAATGATCTAACGAGTCTCTCGACTATTAACAAATATAAAATGGTCCATTACTATAGGGTATTGTTTTTTAAGTCCATTGGCTATTAAAAGTTGCAAAATAGTCACTCGACTATTTATATATTTCAAGCTCGTCATTTTCCGTTAAAATATTGACGATAATTTGAGTTGGACGTTAATATGTTGATTGGGATATAATACAATTTGATCTTGGAATCTCTAATGATTATCATATCACGGTTAGCATGTTAACATTCAGCTTAGATAATAGTTAAATTTTTAACGAAAAAATAACGAATTTGAAACATATAAATAATTGGATAATCATTTTATAATTTTTAATAGTTGAGGGACTCAACAGAGTAGCGTCCTCGAGGTTTATAATTTTATAATTTTACTAGATGGATTAAATCAATTCCTTTCGTTTAATTCAGATTGATTAGATAAATTTTAAGTATTAATTGTAACATCATCTTTTGTTTTGTAATAATAAACAAACAGCGTCCATATATATAAAAAATTAGTTGATTTTATTTCTATATATAATAGGATAAGAGGGAGGTACGATAGTAGGCTGCTCCTAATGCTAGGTTGAGAGCAGCTTTTGTGGGAGACCTCCGGCAGTCAGAATTATGAATTGTCCACCGTAAAACTCGATCTCACGACCACAAAATTAAGAACTTTGTGCTCTACCAACTGAGCTGGACGGGCAGGTGATGATGGACGTCAAATGCTATAAGGGGTGCAGCCAACCTGGCAGCTAACGTTGTCGAAATAGCATTTAGCGGAGCATGTGATCGAGGGATTTGTCAAACAGCTCACAAGGCAACCCAGAAGACCGCATTTAAAGGAGCAGGACATGGTCTTGTCGTTCTTCTCGCCGCAACGGGGCGCCAGTCTCGACGACGGCAATTCGTTTTGAGGATTCACTTGGGCAGATGCCACATCTACCAGCATCCCCATGCTCATGCTCACCAACAGCAGCCATGCCAGCGCCACGGACAGAGAGCTGCATTCCAGACCACGACCCATATTTAGTGTACCTCTACCGATCACTAAGAAATAGAGAGCTTGCAACGAGAATATGAGAACAAATATGTATATTGCTAGCTGCTTGTTTTTAAATGGGAAGGCGGAGTGGTGACCAGCGACACCAAACATGCACGTTTCTTAGTACTGCCATGCAATGGGGGTGATGATATTGGTGGGTTAACTTGCATTTTATTACAAAACACGCACTTATTTTCATCACCAGGACGAGAATTTAACCCAAAATCGACCGATTTCAATCCGATGCTATCCATAGAATCGGATTATTTTTAGAAAAAAATTAGATTCGAGTCGGATCGGGTTGAATTTGTTAAGGAAGTGAGGTCGGGTCAGGGTGAAAGGTGAAAGAATTCTGACCCGATACGGTGATAATAATGTAATTTCTTTAGAAAATTTATTATTATTTTTAATTAAATCTTTATTTTATATCGGATCGGATTTATATTCTAAAATTTGAGTCAGATTAGAGCCAGGTGGATGATATATATATTTTTTAGTTAGGATCGAGTCGGATGGATGATATATAATTTTTGGTTCGAGTTAGGTTCGAGTGAAGGATACATGTTTTTTGAATCCAATAGGATTGACAAAAAATGCGACCCAACTCGACTCGTTGCCATCCCTATTCATCACGTACAATATAATAATTTATCGTAATTATAATGTAATGAAGATGTAGTTAGTGCAGTGACAAATCCATTTATTAGTCAGATAATTGTATACTTTATTGATTATGTCTATCTTAAAATTTTATTTATACTCACATCATATAAAAATTTATATTATTTATTAACATATATATATTTACACAAAAAAATATTTTTAAATCCACAATTGCTTACAATGATATCCTAGTTTGACTTTTAAGTGTCAAAGGATTTTCTTAATAATTTGATACAACATTTATATTAAGTGTCAAAGGATTTATAATTTAAATTTAACAGCCATTTCCTTAATAATTTGATACAACATTCATATTATTCAAAATCCCATGAAGTATAATATATCAACCGTTTAAACATGTTCGATCTCATGTTAGTATATTAGAATTCTAGAATTCATTAAATATTCTCAATAATTGAAGGAAATGTTATTCTTTCAAGAGTTTCTGAGTCAAGTAGTTGTATTTACGAGGTATATATGCGTTTATTTTTAATTTATTGAGAGAATATTTAATATATATATATTCTTACAATCAACCTATTATTAGTAAAAATATTGTATAATATATTAACAAAAATATCAATCAAATTTATCGACGAGTATCGGTACAAGTGGTTGGGATTCAAGAATTTGTGTTTGTAAGGCCAAGTTTGAATCCTACCACTGTCACTTTTGATGAGCAATCTATAAATTTTTATAAAAATTCCAATTGAATTTTAAGTATACCCTGACCCTTAATTGGAGAGTTACTTTGACTTAAACTTTTATTTGTAAAAAAAAAGTATCAATCAAATTTAATTCAATTAATATTTTTTAATATTTAATCTTTCAACACCTCATTTTTAAATTTATCAAATAATATATTACTTTTAATATTTTCTATTTATATATATGTAAGATGCTATGAATTTCAACAATTTAAACGATAAGCATCTGGAAGTTAATCGAATTATAAATAGGGATGAGCTTGGAGTTATTTTTTTTCCGTCCGACACCGATATGAAAATATATATCTAAAACCCGATCTCATCCCGTCCCGATAATTTCAAGATTTTTCCCGTTCCGAATATGCCCTAATTTGTAGATTAAAATTTTGACCTGACTCGATCTAAATATATTAATATTTTAAAATAATATAATTATATTTTTTATTATATTTAAACAGTTAAATTAATATATTTTATAATACTTTTTATATTTTTAATAATTAGATAATATTATTTAATATATATATATATATATATTAATCGTGATTTTTCACCTTATACTCAATATCATCTCGCCCCGAAATTTAAAAAAAAAAATTGTTCTTATAAAGTCGGGTCAGATTGAGACCCATCGAATTTAAGTATTTTGACAGTCCTTAATTATAATAAATATTTTTATAATATGTATAAATAATTATTAGATTGTCCTTTTGTGCCTGAACTTATCAATCATGGCTTCAAAAACGACAAATGTTCAACCTCCGTTAAATCTGAATAAAAAAGTTGGTGATTTAATATGGAAGTAGGTCATTAAGACGATTTATTCCAGAAAGAAAAGAGAGGAAGAAAAATTAAAAATAAAACGTGAATATTGTTTAACTTCTATTAGGCACGAATCAACTAATTTCAGTAATTAAATAAATTATTAATATTTTTAAAGATTAGAGATTTGAGCACCAACAACTGTAGCAGGGTGATTGAGCGTCATTGTCAAATGGATGAGAGAATTAAAATAAATACTACTTTGTAATCACCGACTATAGTATGATAAAATATTTTATTTGTTACAAAAGAAATAGATTAATAATTTGATAATTGTTAGAAATTATATTTTATGAGCTAGTATTCAAAAGAGTTGGATCTCTATACCAATTTTAGAATGGATCAAGTGGTCATTTTTATAGACTATGATGCTATTTTTAAAATTTAATAGTTGAGTGACCAAAATAGAATAAAAATTATGGTTGGGATATTAAAGGTGTAATTTACCCTTTACCTATTATTTCTTAAGATTGATTGTGCATAAATATTTATGTTTTTGATTTCTTGAGGGCTAACTTGGAAGGTCAACTTAGAAAGAGGAGTTCTATAAAAAAAATAGAAGGCTACAGTTTAATTTTAAATTTCATCATTCTACTTTATAAAATTTGAAGAATTGATCTTTACAGTTTAATATGTTAGAATTTGATTCCCATAATTTGCGTAAACTGAGAACAAAATCCAATTATTGATAACACACCAGGTTGATCTATTAATAAAAAGGTTTGAGAATCAAGACAGATTAATATAGATGGACTAAATTTTCAATTTTAACAAACTAGAGGAGTAAAGTTCGGAATTAGACCAAAACATAAACAAGAATGAAAAAGGAAGGTCAAATCAAGTGGCGATCGGGTTTGGATTGGAATCAGCTGTGTTTGTTTTAATTTTTATATATTTTTGTGGTGGTGGGCTGCTAAAGCCATTTCCAAAAAAAAAAAAAAAAACCCTTGAAGAGAAGAGATAGAAACTAAACAAACTGAGAAGCCTGTGCCGTGAAACAAAAAGTCTGCAGCCGAAGAAAAACAATAGCCAAAGCTCAAATCCAATCATTCTGATTAAACAAGAATTATCCGGAAAGATCTACCTTGTTCATCCATTCCCTTCTCTTCCATCTCCTTTTTCGATTTCTCCCCCGTTTCATCTGACATCTTTAGACATGGAGCCTTTCTATTTGTTTCGCAAAGGTATAATTTCTTAGATCTCTTGGATTTTTAGTGTTTAATTACACTTTTTTCCTTGTTTTATATATGTTTTTTTTTGTGTTGGATTGAATTGAGATCTCTAAAACTTTGTTCCTAAGATAATGGAAGATTATAGATTCGACTTATACTGCCTTTTTTGTTTGAATTATTCCTTTGGCCAGGTACCTAGAAAGCTTGATTTTTTGTTAATTAGTTTTTTTTTAAATTAAATGTGCTTACTGATTATTTTTTACTTGAGGGTTTCGTGCTTTCCTCGAATCTTCTGGTTAAAGTGTTGTTGACTCGTGAATTTCGAGGTTTTGAACCGGATATTGGCATAATTTTGGTTTATTAAGTGAAAATCTTGCTTTTAACTTATAGCCTATAGGCTTAATATTTGAAGTCACTTTTATAGGAAATGGTTGACTGTGAGTTCCATTCAGTTGTTAATCAATTGTAGCTTATTTAAAGCTATGGATTTTGCACGCATAAGAGTCAAATATGGTTAATATTTCTTTTATTTTAGTCTGTCATGTTTCTTCATCATCATTATTTTCATGAAGTTTCTATAGCGAGTGACGTTTTTTTTTCGGTGTTGATTTCATTCTATATTTGGTTTTTGAGTTGCTTTCTGTGCAGGATTGATTTTATGCACGTGCATGTCTTCAATTTAAGATTCTCTTGTAGGGTTGAAATATTAATATTGAATTGATGGATGGTTTTGCAGGTTTTGGTTAGAGTTTAGCATAACCCAGGCATATAACTTCTGCATCAGTTTCCTTTATATACATAGAATTTGCTTTTTATTCATTTACGCGAAGAATGAGTTTGTCCAAGAAAGGGACCCAGAGTAGTGACACCAAACCAAATACTCCTAGCAAGGTAACAACTCTGAATCCCAATGCAGCCGAGTTTGTTCCCTTTGCTCTTAGGTCACCGTCTTCATCAGGAAGCACCCAAGCAGCTGCTGCAATAGCAACGTTCGCTACTTCTGGTACCGTAGGAAAAGCGGTGCTTGATCGGTCAGGGTCTTCTGTTTCAAATAATTCTGATGACGACGCTCATCAGTTCTGGCAACACCAACTTCCCGATGACATTACCCCAGACTTTAAGGTTATTAATGAAGATGAATCTCAAGGAATAGAATCTGGGGGCCTCTCCTTAGATGGTTTGTCCTTGCATGATGGTACCAAAGCCTCAAGGTTTCCTGCTGGCAGTGGATATGTATTTGATGATCATCAGGAATTACTGCATCACTACGGTAATGGTAGTAATTTATCTGAAAATTTGAGATATCCTGCTTCATCTTACGGAGGGGATCCTATTTCAGCTAGTTTTTTGAACCCATCACCCAAACCTTGGGACAAGAAACTTGTTAACAATGATCAGCCAATTGGTAACGGGAGGGAAGGAATACCGTATAATGGAAATTCTAGACATGCATTCGTCAGTGATATTTTGGGTGAGCAAGCAAACATGGATGATACTGAAATGAGTCATGTGGATTTTTTGGCTTCTCAGTTCCCGGATTTGCTGCTGAAAGCCTTGCTGAAGTTTATTTTGCCAATGGTTGTGACCTAAATCTGACTATAGAGATGCTCACACAACTTGAGGTGTGTGGTCCTCAACTTTGTTTTTTGGTCAAAGTGCTTGCATCCGCCATTTGTTCAAGTGGTGATGAAGCAGTTATTTACATCTTCAACTTATATATAGATATATTATTAAATGATTATCTTATTTTTTGATAATTGTATTATTTTCCCATTATCAATTGCTCGAAAGTTATAGAACCACTAAAGGGTTTATGGTCAAAATTTGAATGTGGAATTGTTTTAAAAAGTTTTTTGTATTCCTTTGTTTCATTGCAATTTCTTATAAAAAAAATTGCAATTTCTTATCACCTTTTTCTTATGTTGTACTTATGGGATCTTGCGGATCTGCTGTGGATGGTAATGGTTTGGATGCTAGCTGTAGTTTGACAGAGAAAAGTTGGTTCCTCAAAGTTTTTTAGGTGGCTTAAATCATCCCCAGCTTTGTGCGTTGCCTCTGGTTTATATATCCTGGTGGCATGGTACAGGGGGACATTTTTATTTAGAATTTTCTTCTTTTTTTGGCAATTAAATCTTCAACGATTTTTTTTTTGCGTACAATTTTCTAGCATCCTCATTTTTTTGGAGTTTTTGTTGTTTGTTTTGTCCCTTTTAATTGTATTAAATCTTTTAGCATTCCATTAGTTTTTACAAATCTTATTGCAGCTTCAAGTTGATGGTGGTTTCAACCAGAACCTCAATTCAAAGACATTGTCAGCTCCCAATCCAAGTACAACGGATTTTCCTGCACTAACCGTGTCAGATGGTCAGAGTGGTCCTTCAAAATACGCAGGAGACGATCTTCAATATAATGCCAGTCCCTATCGATCTTCTGACAAGGACAATCTGCTTATGTTCAAATCCAGTTCTTCCCTTCCATCTAGAGGTGCCATAGATTTTGCATCAGCTGTCAGGAAAATGGCATCTCAAGATTCTGGAATATGGAAGTATGAGAGAAATGGTTCTGATTCAACTGTTGGGTCAAGCAGAAGTCCTAATGGTTCTGCTAATTCCTACAGTGCATCTGGAAGGGGGGTGTATGCTAATAGGTTGCAAAGTCGTGGTTCAGCTCGTACGGCTCCTGTTTGGCTTGAAACTGGAGATGCAGTGGGTAATATTCTGCACTTATGAAATTCTTGCATTTATTGAGTTTTTTTTGTAGGAACAATATATCCTCGCTGCACATCTATTTGCTTTAACATTATTGAGCTGGCAGCAAATTTGTACTCTGAACTACGGGAGGAAGCTCGAGACCATGCACGTTTACGTAATGCTTATTTTGAACAGGTATTTCACTGGAAACTATTTTCACATATTGATACTGTCTTGTTTATAGGTTCTACAGTTTTGTTAGCAAGCAATGAAATTTTTTTGCATCTTTCAGCCTAATTGCTCAACCTCCCTTTCCTTCCCCCCCCTCCCCAATTTTATTTGTGGCCCATTTTTGCAACCAGAGAAATGAGTTTACTTCTTTAGTCCTTGTACAAATTTACACCAGTAGTATCCCCCCGCTCCCAACCCCGCCCCAACAGAAAAAGAAGCTGATTCAAAACAACCAACGGGCATGTGTTTGATGAGCAGTTCTCGCTTTCCAAAGTTGATGCAACTATACAAGTTCAGGGTGCATCAATTATTAGACTGATAGAAAACAAATTTCTAACGTTTGGCATGTGCCAGATGATCAGATCTTGTACATGAAATCTGCTCTTCATTGATGATCTCTCTCTCATTCTTTCTTTCTGCCCCACTGAACCAAGTCCACACACCTCGCTCATATTGTTAAGTGATAATACTTTCTTGTATATTTAACATAGGCACGTCAAGCATTTCTCATTGGCAACAAGGCTCTAGCAAAGGAGCTTAGTGTGAAAGGACAAATGCACAATATGCATATGAAGTCAGCACATGGAAAAGCTCAGGAATCTATATATCAACAGAGGTTTGTCATTTTTTGCATGTCGCAGTTGGTCCCTTGACAGTATGGTTTAACGGCTTCAAGCTGTTCTTCTCTTGCTGCTGCTGTTGCTACTACTACTACTATTACTATTGCTTTTAACATCTGTTGATCAGTTGTTTTTCTTGTGGAGAATAAAAACATTAGTTTTTGATATTTGTGAGGGGTGGTATTATTTATCCCGGGCCCTTCAACATTTAAGTGTAATTGGTTTGTTTGCCCCACTTCAACTACTCCTACCCTTTCTCCTTTCACTATCCATCAATCCTGGTTGTTGGTTCTTTCAGTAATTGCAATTCATGTTATACTATTTTGGTTGGCTTAATACTAATATGTTTTTGTTTGACTGTTTACAAACTATAATAATATAGGAACCCAGTTCCTCTAGAAAATTTCAGAGGACAGGAGCGGATGATAGACCTTCATGGATTGCATGTTACTGAAGCCATACATACACTGAAGCATGAACTATCAGTGCTGAGGATTACAGCACGGGCAGCAGATCAGCGCCTGCAGGTATACATATGTGTTGGAACTGGCCACCATACTAGGGGTTCTCGCACTCCAGCAAGACTTCCAGTTGCTGTACAACGGTATCTACTTGAAGAGGGCCTTGACTATACAGAACCGCAGCCTGGGCTGCTTCGAGTTGTGATATATTGAAGCCATGGACTTGACTGAGTTGAGGTATAAGAGTTTTTGACACTATATAAAAGAAAACCATCATCTCGTAGTCACCATAGTCGATTCTTGTATCTTTACATGGGAAGAAAATGGAAGAGAGAAGTTGAAGCTGAAAAATAAAATACAAAGAAAGGGTTCAAAAAACAGAAGTTAGGGGAAGAAAAAGGTTAAAGAAAACAGAAGTGTATCATTATTGTTTAGCCAGATGACCGCCACAATCACATTTGGTAGCATCAGAGGCAGGGGGTTGTGCTGGGGAGGACACTGCCAGCAACCATCTTTTCTCTGGTTTGTTAATTTTGTATACTTAGTTAAATTGTGGGTTCAATTCTCTGATGTAACTGATAGATTTGAATTACACGATAGTACGATTCATGAAGTAACTCATGTTGAAAATTCGATCTTTGTACTCTATACTTGTCTGGTCTGGGCACTTAATTAGGGAGATTTTTATTAGGGGGTGGATTCAGGATGGTTATAGATTTAATTTAGTTTGACCATGCTGCCACATAATTTCGGGTGCCAATTTCGATATAATTATTTCATTTTTAGGTTAGGCATTTTTGTAAAGAGATGGCGTTGACATCCCCTTGGGCATCTTATTGAGTGTGTTTGCATGCTAGAATAGTTTGTCATTAAATTCGAGGGAAACATCACTTGAGAAGCACACAAAACCAAGCTAATGGAACCCAATAATACAGGGAAGGCAATTTCTTAGCCAATGAAACATATCAATCTCAAACAAGAGGATGACAAGGATACGGATTCTAACCATTTTATATCATCCATTGTTAAAAGACACTGGTGCGGGTTTATTTATTTTGGCTCGATTCCTTCCCTTGTTTGCGGGCTTTTGAAGTTTAGCATCATGCTTCTGCCCCGACATGATTATCGTCTCTGTTCTCCGAGTTTTACAAAGCTGTCACAGGGGCTTTTGTTGTCGGTATGACCAATTTTGGATTTTGGTGTGCGTATTTTGTGTCACGGCCTGGGCTCATTGTGCCTTGACTACCACATTGTGGAGCACTGGGATAGTCTACCCCTGGTGGCGTGTCCAGTCTGGTGGGCTTATGTTCGAATGAATCGAGCGGGATGGTGGAGCCACCAGACCACGTGTGGCAATCCATTGAACTTTGTGACGCGCATGGCCTCATAAGGCCGAGCCATGATAGAGAACGGAGGTAGCCGACGGATAAATGGACGTGAGAGACGTTGACCGTGCCTAAGAGTAGTCATGGTGCTTCATGCATGGTTTGCCTTGTTTTGGGCTAAGAAAAAAGTGGTCCGGGACACTATGTCGGGCGTGTGTGCACGGGTTATTTCTCTCCCGTCTCTCTTGATGCGGCATTTTGTCCATCTTCATTCCCAGACCAATCTCTTTATTTAAATGAAGTTTCTCTTTGAAAAAAAAAGGAGTTTGCTAGCTAAAAAAGATCATTGTTAATTTTCTTATCAATGTTTCTGTTAACTTGAGGCTTCCGTTACTGAACTGCCATGACCTTTCAGTGTTTCTGCCCTCATTAACTTTTTAACACTGGTCCTGGTGAAACTGGCCAACATGCTGAGAGACATCAGGATCCCCTTCAGTTCTGTACGGTGATTCGGCATGCAGAGGAGAGCATGCAATGGCTGACAAAAAGCAAGTACGCATTAAGCTTTATGAGCCTGAACTGCAGGGGAATCTCATCATTGAGACCTACCATCTTTCTATTTCGAGATATAGAGAATGTTGTATTATCCAGCAGTTTACCATCTTCATTCTTTTACAGTGTTCATGAAGGAAGGAAGGTGATCTGCAATTTAGAAACCGCCGCCCTGATTCATTCACCACATGAAATATACAAGTCCATCTTCAGCATTGGTATATATGATGAAAGCAATGACATGTTTAAGCTCTGATGAAGAGCTCGTATGTATTACTGTTATTATCTCCACTAACACGCTTCAACATTTCAAAGCTTTTACGACTTCCTAAGAAATTGATTCGTTTGAACACCGTCTCACTGCTAGAGTATGCTGATCGAAGCCGGTCGGCATACTTCGAGTTTGTGTGAATGGCAGCCTCTATTTCATGAACCGACATGTCCTCCTACAAAAGAAACAGAAACGAAACAACATTGTAGCTGCATTTACATAGCCTAATTAACACAAATAATCTGTGGACAATAAACATATCCAAGTCATACCTGATAGAAGGCATATATATAATCCAAAATCTGCAGACATGTAAAGCCCTTATCGCTGAAATATGTCCGTGATGAAGGCCCCATCTCAGAAAATCGATCGACTGGAAACAGTATGGTGAGAAATTGGTTTTTGAATATCAACTTATTCTTCTCACTGCATGAGTCATTAAGTCAAAACCTGAGTAGGAAGGAACCCACAAACTCTGGGACAAATCACTAGTATATCAATAGTGTGATCCATCACCTTTCCGTAAGTGACCTGGTTAAGTTCGTAAAGGAGGCCTCGGAATCCTTTCCATCACCATTTGCATCAAAAAACACAGATTGATGCTCACTAACGTCTTCACCGCACAAAGAGTCAGTGAAAAGAGAAGCAGTTGAAGTTGGCTCAGATATCGACCAGCAAACCGGTTCCAGAAGATTGGTTCGGCTAATATGATTGTTTGGTCCTTGACAAGTCTGAAAGAAAACAGATGTTATAAGAAATACAAGACTACACATTAGCAAGAAACGATAGGACATACCAAACATGATCAAAACCACTTGCCTGCTTACGGCGACTGCGGGGATTTCTAACTCCGGTTTCAGCTAAATGCACAATCTGTTTCCTCTCTTCATGAGTCGCATTCCTTCTAATGCTCCGAGTAGATTGCATTGAATTGGCCACATTACTTTCCTATTAGAAGAGAGGTGAAACTTGACATCAACATATTGCAACACAATCAAAACTGTCTAAGTATTGGTGGAAGGAAAACAATGTGAAATATATTTCTCAATGAATTCAAGTACCCTTGTGGTAAGAATAAGATAGTACCTCTCCTACAATGGCGTTCCGAGCATTTTCGAGCACTGTCCCGATCTGCCTGGCTAAACCAGCAGACATGTGGACAAGTCTCTGCAAATTCCTATCCTTGGCTGTTTTCAGGACCCACAGTGGCTGAAACATTAAACATCAAAACAGTTGAATCATAACGAAGATTGGTTGTTTTTACAAGTGCTATGCATACTGCTCAACCAAGAACAGTATGATCATGCATAAAGAAACCCTGTTTCCATAATGCAACGCAGAAGTGCTCACCGTAACAATGTTGTTCGAGTGGCCGATATATCGATGGATAGAATGTCCTTCACACACTACATAAGTTGCACCACAACCAACAAACCATAGATCTATCACTGTGGCCCCTTTTTTTGAAGCTTCCTCAAGGACCTATCAACATGCTAAATGTCTCAACGAATTGATCGAGCGTAACTAAAACTGTGAGTTGTGTACATATCTTGCAGTGATATAGCGACCGACACACTAATCTAATGACCTAGGTTCATGACTTATACCATCCTGACGATGCAACGATTCTAAACACTGATTTCAGGCAGCAAACTGAATGTTACCTTATTCCGAAGTTCAACTGAAATATCAGAGTCGATGTACATGGTATGACCAGAAAACGCTGAGTTCATACTTCTATTAGGGACTCTTCTGGAAAATTGTGCATGTTGTTTTTCTCTCATGCTTGTTTTATTGGCTTCATCAAGACATGAACTTTCGGGAGTAGTAGACTCAGCAAGCAGATTCAACTCGTCTGCAGTTGTAACATGTTCTCCGATACCCTTCATGCTGTAGAACGATTCACTTAACCTTACTGCATGAGTGTAGGAAAATACAAATTTTATTAACAAACAGGAAACAGATTAGCCCGCGAAATGCCTCTACTTATTTCTGATCCCACTAACAAGGCAAGAAACAACAGGTAATATGAGGTATTCTTGTTTCGGATCGGATCCAAAAGAGGAGGGAGCAATGGCAGCAATAAGATAATTGAGTTCGAATTTTCATACTAAACAAACTCTCAAGTTCTAACAAAATGAAAAGAGCAAATCCTTCATCACACTGCAACAAAACTAACCATTCCTCTTGACACTATCCACGAACCATCCAAGTTTAACAAGTAATAGACCGTTTCTTGATCCATGTTTTAGAGCGTGCTCAAACTTGCGTCCACTAACGCTGTAACTAATATTAAGGCTCGCCATAACAGTTGCACTTGCAGCAGCAGAGACAATACAAAGACAAGACAATAGGAAACCTTATTATCATCACAGTACACATAATATCCATCTGTTTTCACTTTATCCCAAGCCAGCCAAGTCTCACATTAAGCTAAAATCTAAGTGATATAAAAGCAAACAATACGAGAAAGGATATCTGGACCACCAAATGGGTGCATTGAGGATGTAAACAAGTACTGTATTGACCACCTAATCTCTCCGTTGCCTCCATGACTTGTCTCCTTGCTTCTGCATGCAAAAGAGAAAAATCGACATGTAATGGCAAAACATGATGAGTTCATTCAAAATTCAAAGTACCCAGACTCGAAATCATACGAGTTTTTATCGAACTCAGACAGCAGTACACTGTAAGAAGTAGCCCAAAACAATCAAACCAGAAATAACCAACCTTTAGATAAGCCAGTGACGCAAATAACCAGACCAGAAAACGGACCGGGGGATCGAACCGTTAAAGGTTCAGAACCAAGAGATGTAGGGGCAGGGGACATAGGTTCAAAAGGTTGGAAACGTGTGTATGATGGCACTGAAGATGAGAAACCAACAAACAAACTTGAACAACCTTTGCTGTCTATCACCTCCACCTTGTTAAGACCACCCATGTTTTAAGCATGGAAAGAAAGCTAGAAATAAGCGAGTCAAAAGAATATAGAGAGGTAAAGAAGGAATCCTGAATGAGAATGAAGAGATTGAACACGAAACGAGGACTTTTCGTGTAGGTTAACTTGTATATGAAAGGCTATGGTGCTAAGTGCTAACCATTCAAAGTTTGATCCTTTTTTTCCATTTTCCACAAAATGGGCTTATGATTTCACTGAATTCACGAGCAAGCTAAGACTGCAGGGCTCCACCATTGTTGAGGGCCCCCTACCTTAAGTGCAAATGGCGGCAATGGTTTGAGTTTTTGAGATACATTATTATGTATGTAATCATTAAATCGAATGCTGGTGGTGACTTCGATGAAAGGGAGCTGTTTTCTTCAAAGGCATTTTGCCTGGTTTTTCCATTATTAATCATGGTGTTCCTCTCTGTCATTTGAACAAACAAAGCATATAGGGACTGAAACGGAAACAAGTTAAAAAAAATGCTGCTTTCTGGCTACTCTATAAAGGTCAAATTCTAGTTTTGGTCCCTTGGCTTATTTAGATCAGGGACTTGTCTTTACACTTCAATTTTAATATAGTTTGACCCCTCTACTCTCGTAATGTGTTAGTTAATCAAAATAAGTAATATAGGCTTTTGTTGAATGATCTTAATGGTCAACAAAAATGTTATTTTTCTTAAAAGACCTAAGTTCGAACAATTTCGTGTATGTGTACATTATCAATGACCAATAAATATTACATTTAAGATTTAAATTAACTAATGGAATTATTAAATTAAAAATTACTTTTTTTAAAATTAAAATGGCATAAACCTTTAATAATTGATTCTTTATTTGTGGAGGAGAAGTTGGATGAGATAAAACATGCAAAATTTTCCCTACAAATATTAATGAAAGTGACCCAATTTTCATTACGTAATTAAATTGTTTAGAAGATTAGAATTAAATTGTTTACTTTTTTTTTATAGGATTACAGTATAATTTTAGCATTACCCTAAATTATAATTTTATAACTGTTGAAGGGTCTGAAAAGAAATTGTACCTTTTTGGGGGTCAAGGCACCAGATCCCCTGAATGCGCTGCTGGCTTTTTCCGTATATTTGTTTTGGCTTTGCCTCCTAACCTTTGCTTTTGGGATTCAATTTTTGTCGTGTAATTTGAAAGGAATTTTATACATATCTATATTTAAAACCTGTAAATAATTTGAATGAAGAAACATGTTTCACCCAGTAAAAAAGAAAAATAATTACCATGTACTGTAGGTGAAATAAAGAGATGCAGTAAGGGGAGGAGATGCAAATCTAGTGAAATAATCATATAGGGAAAACTACGTATTAGTGCACAAACTATAAGTTTTGTTTAATATTTTTAAGATCATAGATAATTTGTAGTTTTCATATTTTTATTATCTCACATTTAGTACTTAAACTATTAAATTTAATACATTGTTTTGGAAAACAAGTATGTTGTCAGAGATGGTGCTCTGACATGTAGGTCCTCGCGTGATGTTCTGCTTGTGGGACATAAGGAGGTTGTCGGGTGTATGTAGTCCTATTTCGAGCTTCAATTTGTCCGGTCTTGCTCCCAGGTTTGCTTGGGGTTGGTTTTTAATGTTTGCCTTGTTTCTATACTGGTTTCGCTGGGGTTTGTCCCACGCTGTGCTGCTCATTTCTGTTTGTGTGTAATGGTCTATTCTTTGCTCTTTAAGGTATACTCTTTTTCCTCCAAGTAAGATTAGAGCGGTTTTTTTAATGAGGGTCTTGGGTTGTTTACTTTGTTAATCCCATAATACAAAGTAACCTTTTACAAAAAAAAACTTTAAGCATTTTTTAAAATTTAACGTTAAATTTTGAATGGAGTATTAAACTGAAATAAAAACTAAACTTTAAGTATATTTTTTTAAAAAAATTAAAAATTTAGATAGTAAGATGGATCAAAACCAATAGTTTAAGCACTAAATGTGTAGTTTACCCTATTAGATATTGTGTCAACTCTGAGCGAACAAATCCTCTTGGTTAGGTTGGATTGTGAGCGGTTACAGTTTGTGTACGAAAAGGCAGTGATTACTGTTTTTTTTTCAAATATAAAAAACGGATAATATATTTGAAAAAAGTAAAATAAATAGAAGTTTATTTACAGATATATAATATATTTTACAGTATTTATAGAATTCTTCACGTTGAGATAACGTGTTTTAATAAAATATATTTTTTATTAAAATTTATTATCAAGATAAAAAATTAAATAAAATATATTTTTTATAAAAATACCGTATATCTCAAAATAAAATTGTTTGTCCTATTTTATAATTTTTTTTGGCTGCCCCGTTGGAACAAAAAAAACCGTCATTACTGCTAATATGGAGCTATCCAATTAATGAAGAATCAGAAGCAAAGTCTGAAAATCGGGCCACAGTGATTAAACCATTTAATTATTTCATATATATGGCCATGCATGTCATGTACCATGACCCATCTCAACCATCTAGTGCCTACAAGATCCTTTATAGCTGCCCACTGTCTTCCTCGTGTCTTAAACTCAAAACAGTATGTAGCCACCAACATCCATTGATTGCAGAATCTACAAAAATGAAATCGAAATATAATATAAAATATGATTTTAAAATAAAAGAATAATCGGGTGACTAAAACCAAAAACAATAATAATTGGGTAATAAACATGTAGTTTTACGTTAGTTTAAATACTAGTAGATTGGATCAATAGTTATAGGACACCTAGCTCTCAAGGTTCAGAAGCCCATACTTGAAAATTGGGCCTGAAATGATCAAATTGATTGAGCCCTTGTTTTTGGATAAATTACATATTTACTCACTGAACTTTACTTCTCTCCTGTTTCACTCAACGTACTTTTAATTTTTTCAATTTTCTCACTGAATTTTAGTTATTGAACTTTTTTGGTCACTCGACAATTAAATTTCTAACGGCGTTTTGACGTTTCTATATTAATTGAAAAAAAATAAAAGTATAGTGAGTAAGATAGGAGAGAGTAAAGTTCAGTGAGTAAACGTGTAATTTATCTTTTTAATTATAAATCATATGTGACATGTTTTATTATTAAAATAAGCCACATGAGAACTCCGTTGCTGAGTAAACGGTCTAGTGAAAAAAAAGTTTAATGTCTAAAGTTTAGTGAGCAAATTGAAAAAATTAGAAGTACGGTGAGTGAAATAGAAGAGAGAGAAAAGTTCAGTAAGCGTATAATTTACCCCTTTTTTTCTTTTATGAAATTATAATGTTTCAGTTTTTCTTTCTCTCAAATAAGTCCTTTTGAAGGGTCAACTAACAATAAACTAATGGTCAATATTTTTGTCGACATGTCATAATAATATTGAAAGCATAACTCAATAATATAGAACTATTTAGTACTATAAATCTTGTTAATCAACATATTAACCGTAATAATTGATCGATTGAGCCTTAATTTGATTGATATAATTATTATTACAATATTTAAAGAAAAATAAATTGAAATGTATTTAATTGTATGTTATCTTTTAATTTTAGGGATATTAAGGGTATTAATAATACTGTATCAGCTACCTTTTTTCTCTCGGCCCTCAAATTTTTAGCCGATTGCTCCCTTTTCTTCTTTGACTTTGGCCTTAATGTTGGTCGCCACCCCTAGTATTCTTTTTATTATCTATTTTCCTATATTATATATTTTTCTTTTCTTTTGTTTATTTTTTAGTAATTATCTTTATGACATATTTTAGTATGCTTTTATAGCAGATTTTCCTCAACCGTTTTGGCATGTTTTCGATCGTTGTTTTCATTGATTTTTTTCTAATTTCATTGATTTTTTCTTAAGATTAGATTTGACACCGTCACGACTGATCAAGATAACGTCTGTTTGTTATCATGTTGATCTTCTCTGCTTTGGACCATCGGATTGATTTAGATACACGATTTGAGTTCGTGGATAGTTTTCTCACATCGCTCGACTTTGATATGCAGTTTGTCGGCAAAATATATATACGAACAAATCTAATTGAATCAACAAGCAAACCCTAAAATATTATTACAGTTTGTCGATTTGTTTGCCGATTCAGTCAGATTTGTTCGTATCTATATTTTGTTTGAGCTTTTTGGTTAGGCTTTAAACTTTTTTTATCTTTATGTAATCTAGATGGTTAATTTTTTGTGTCAACGATTATAAAAAAATATCTTAATTATGTTTTATGCTGAACTAAACAGTATACTAATAACGGGTTATGGTCACTCTATCCTGGTTCTAACTTTTTTGCCGTCGATCTTCAACGCAATCCACTGCAATAATATTTATTTGAATCTGCAATCAATGACTTAGATTTTATTCGGTTCACCATAACAGGTAAGAAAGTAGAATAATACATGGGATTAGGGAAACAGACAGAGAGATGGTCTTGGGAGTAATCATGCAGAAACGTGAAGACAATGCGAGGAACATCGTGATCATACCCAGTCTTTGCAAACAAGCGCTGGACCTTCAGACATGCCCATGCTTTTCAGCATGCTTCCTGGCCCACTAGCATAAAAAAAAAGAACACCAATGCCTATCTCTAGCTCCCAATGCGAACATAATTTAGATGTTTATACGCTGCCAACACGAGATTCGGGTTCGTTTTAATCAAACGTTGATATAAACAGCGACGAAAACGTGGTCTGAACGTCGGTAGAAACCAGAGGAACTTATGGTGGTGACGTTGCAGCACAAAAGGGTCAATATCGTGTCATCAAGAAACCAATAAAATTGGGAAGAAGAGAATTCTGTATATGGAAACCAAAAGGCTAATAACATTATCTCATTAATTAATACGTTCAGCAAAGGGGCTGATTTGCTTAAACAATTCAAATAAGAGGGGAGAAAAAAATCAATGCTCTAAACGAATACAATTACAAATAAATTAAGCAAAGCAAAAGGAACTACAGACTGCATTATCAAATCCTTGAAAACATTGCAGATTCCACAACAAGTGTTCATACAGAAGCTTCAATCCTTGGCTCGAATGAGAAAGCAGACATGAAGTCCATGGCTTCACCATTCATACAACACTTGGGAAGTTCAACCCATTCGTTAGCCACGATATCACAAAGAACGTAACTGCACAGCTCAGCAGAGCTTAAGCAGATAAATATCTGGTCACCAGCCCCGACACAGTTTACGTCGACTTTTTTGCCATAGAACTCGTGTGACATTGCAGGAGGCATGCTTGCAATCTGATTCCAAGTCTTTGTTTTCTCATCGAATCTCCACACCCTAAGGCTTGCACTTTCAAAGAATTCCGATAACATAACAACCAACATCTCTCCTTTACACTCCACCACATCGATGGAGTACTCGAAAGAGACAGGCAACAGTCTGGGATATTCAGAGAAATGCTTCTGGGTCAGATTGCAAGCTACAACTGTTCCAGTGGAGCTGAGGAAATAAACAATCTCCTCACCGTCTTTAAAAGTAATGACTGATGAATATTGCTTGGATGGGTTTCTCTGCATGTTAGTTGCCACCACGTTTCCAGCTTTGCTAAGGAAGTACACAGCATCGTTGTTGTCATCTGTTGAATTAAATTCCTTACAATCATCGGTTTTTCTCCTTAACAAAATCTCTTCTTCCCAGCAATCAGCACTAGAGTTATAAACTCTGAACGACAGCTTTGAAAGATCACCAGAGACTAAGACCAACTTGTAGTAGCCATGGTAATTGGAATATGAAGTCATTGCTATACCATGAAGGGGGCGATCATGAGAGTCCAGATTCACTGGAGGGAGTTCCCGACACAATCCTGTAACAGGATTGCATACAAAGTAATCACCGGACATATTGCGGAAACAAACAAGCCCACCAGCTGCTGCAACCGGGATGGAATCACAGTTACAGTTATTCGAGGGGAGGGGCCTATGATTTAGTTTTTTCCAACTTCTTTCAGCAGAGTCGAAGACAACAGATCGATCAAGATTGGGATCCACCATGAAAAACAAAGGTTCCCTTGAAGGAATCCTAGAGCAAGCCAGCTTAAAACTTTCAGAAGCAGCAACCGATTTCCATCTCTTGCACACTGAACCAAGGTGAAAGTACTTCGAGGTTGGTAACCACGAAAGGACCCTTTCGAGTAGGTCATCAGTGAGCTCATCCAAGGAGAAGTTCAACATATCATTGCCTTCTTGAGGCAACTTTCTCTTCCTAGATGTCCCTGAAATGCAGCCAACAGCCTTCTCCATTGGCCGACTATTTCAGAAAATAACCTGCAATGGTAAACAGAGGACAACAACATATTAATAAGAGACCACTATCAATGATCATTTATACCATTAAACAGATGAATCAAAACACAGATTCTTTTTTCAAAATTTATCCGCATCGTAGAGAATATAAGAAGCAAGGCAAATAAGGCTTGAATATCACTTCAATAAAAGATTAGGGGAAAAATGACAGCCTAACTAACAATAAGCATTAAAGGTCCACACATGACTAGAAAGCACTAAGAGGCTCTCCTTTTCTTAACCTCTCCATCATATTAACACCAAATAGTTTCTCGGGGAAAAAAGTAGGGTAAAGAAGTGCAAAGAATAGTACTACTATTAAAGAAGTGACAGCATCATAACATCTTGGTTAGAAGTTAGGACAAAAGAGGGTCCAACAAGAACACGAATCAGCTCCACCCAATTTTCACTTCAATGAATGCAGATAGTAAATTCTCAAAGGAGAGTTACAAAAAGAGCCACAATCACGGGATGGCATAGAGTAATATACTATTGAAAGGTGTAAAATTTGAGTTCAATACCATCGATTTGCATTCTGCAAAGAGACTAATTCTATTTTTTACCTTAGAGCTTGATAAAAAAAAACCAAACGAGGTTGAAATGGGAAGACGACGAGGACAGAAAGGTAAAAATATAAAAAGGAAAATCAAACGTACCTGATGATATGAAGCTGAAGGAGAAGCTTAGTGGGGGCTTTGGGGGATTATGCAAAGGGACAAAGTTGAAAACTGAAACAGTCCCAAGAACAAAACAAAACAAAAGATAGGAAAGTAAACGGGCTTTAGAGAAGGAAGAAGGGGAGGCAATAAACTTCACGGGTCTCCTCTTTTCGTAAGCGTTGACAATGGAGTTAATAGAGTAAAATAAATTATTAGAATTTGAATTATTAAAAAATTAATTAGTGAAATTTGAATTTAAAAAAATGAATTATTGAAATTTGAATTCTGGAAATAAATTATATTTTTTAAAAAATATTTTTTAGAAAATGTTTTCCGTAAAATGAATTATATTTTTCTGAAAAACATCTGAAAAATGTTTTATGATATTTGGAAGATATTATTTATTAAACTTTTTTTCAATAATTGATGAGTTTTTTTAAAATTATTTATTACAAATATTAAATACAATAAACAATATTTTTTTTATCATAAAACTTAATATTATTATTTTAAAAATATTAAAAATATTTATTTATTATTAAATATTATTTTTATAATTTTATTAATAAAAAATATTAATATTGGTATATTTTAGTGAAATAAAAATATTATAAATTATATTAATTATTTATTAAAGTAAAAGTGTTATATTATATTTTAAAAATATTAATTAGTATATTTTAAATATCTTTATTAAAATATTAATAGATTATTAGATTAATATTAAATATATAAATAATATATTCATTATTAAATATATAAAAAATTATTATATATTTATTAAAATATAATATCTTATATTATATATAATTGATTATTTATTATATATTATTATAATTATATATATATTAATATTAATATATTTTAAATATTTTAATAATTAATATTTTGATGAAAATGATATTAAAATATTTTATTAATATTAAATTCATAAAATAAAATTATTTTGAACATTTATTCTTTGAAGTGAAAAGTTCAGAAAATGACTTACAGAAAATCAGACCATAAGTCATTTTCCAGAAAACACAAAGGAAATTCTGTTAACCAGGAAAATGAATTACGTTGACCAACCAATTTTCCTCCAACCAAACACTGGAAAACATTCTCCGGAAAACGAATTACTTGAAACAAACACGGGAAAACATTTTCCGAAAAACGAATTACATGAAACAACACGGGATTTCAGGGAAAATCAATTCCGTAATTCATTTTACGACAAACAAAAATACCCTAAATGATTGAATATTTGATAGGGGTGTTCAAAATTTTGGTTAACCGATTAAATCGATCGAATAAAAAAATCGGTTAATGATTTTTTTCAAAAATTTGTTATCGGTTAATCGAAATCGATTAATTAACCAAAATTTTAAATATTTAATATATTATTTATATATTAATAGTTTTAGGAGTGTTTAAATTTCAGTTTTAACCCAATTAGCTGAAATATTAATTATTTAATATATATTATTTAAAATTTAGGTTAACCGATCGATTAATCAAATTTTATTTGGTTAAGTTAATTATTAAAAAAAATTAACTCGGTTAACTGTTAAAACGAGAAAAAAATCGATTACTGAAATTTTGAAAGTTCGATTCAGTCGATTACCTTAATCGACCGATGAACACCCTTATGTTATTTAAATCAAATGGTAGGATGGTGTATACGAATAAGTGATAAATCTTAACTTTAAAGCAACAATGTAAGTTTAAATTTATATAAAAAATACATATTCGTTTCTTCGTGAGAAATAAATTTACTTATTCGGATATGAAATATATAATTTAAATTATTTAAATAAAATTAATGATTTAAATAAATTACGAGTTATTTAAACTTTATAATTCAACTTTAAAATCTTATAATTTTTAATCAAACGACTTTAATGGTTAATACTTAAGAAATATATTGTTATCTTTTGAGGTCACGGGTTCAAGTACCGTATATGTTAAGAGTACAAATATTCAATATCAAGTAACTGAGAGTCTTTAAATAAATATATATTATCTCGAATTCATGTAATATTTATATATAAAAAACTGTCATTTTGTCAAAATAATTTTTTCGCTTAAAACTATGCATTTTGTGTTACACGTGATTTTATTTTTAGTCGACTTAATAAAATCAATTAAGATCTATGCTGATGTAACTAATAGTATACAATAGTTTTCTCTGAAAAAAACTTAGTTTTCTTTTATTTTAGTCGCAATAATTTTAATGTTAGTTATCGATCATAGCTATTTGTTATTGTTTTTTTCTTTTTTATATCTTATCTTATCTTTATTTTCTTTTATTTTTTTTATTTTCAATAAGTTTGCATGTACGTTTTCATTTGTCTTTATAGCATGTTTTTTAATTTTTTTTTTTGCTGTATTTTCATTTCTTTTTTATAGGATTGATTTGACATCGTCACGATTAATCAATAAAGCACTTATTTGATATCTTGTGATCTTCTCTTCTTTGGGTCTATAGATTAGGTTTGGATATCTGATTTGCGTTTGTGGATAACTTTTCACATCGTTGGAGTATGATTTGCGGTTTGGCGATGATCTCTCAATAGTTTGGTATATTTTTGTGGTTTGTTTGTCGATTCTATTAGATTTGTTTATATCAATCTTTGTTTGAGTTTTTTTTGTTAGATTTAATTTTTTCTTGTATGTTCCATATGTAATCTTAAGTTGCTAGTTTTGTTTCAATAATTATAGTAAATTTTCTTAATTATGTGCTTAATTTACGATTGTGATTTTAAATATTTATTGTAATTTAAAATATTTTTTTATTTTGAATAAATTAATTGCTTCTTTTTTAAAAAAATATATGCTGATGTATAGATTCAGTTATAATTAAAGGTTGATCAATTAAATTATATATATATATATATATGGAAATATTTAACATTATTTATTTTATTTTATTATGAATTTATGTATTTAAACTCGAATATTAAATTTAATTCATGAACTAATTTCGTTTTGATTTTAATTCAAGTACGAATTACGGAATTAGTATTTGAATTCCTTAATGAACTCAAGTTACTCATAAACAACATAGAATTCATATGTTGAAGATGAATACCCATTTATATATTTAAATTTGATCATTTTAAAAAATAATTTAATAAATTATAATAATTTTAAAAAATATATTTTATTATTAATTGTAATTATAGAAAATGAAATTAAAAATTCCATCTCTTTTTCCTCAATTATTTTTGCATGAATTCTCATAAACGAAAGAAAAAGGTATCTGAAGACAAATTTTAGTTCAACTGGTGGTTTATTTCGAGATCAAAATGACAGTTTTCTCTCTACTTATAATTTATGCGTTAGATAAAAAGGTATTTTAAAATACCTCTTTTGTTTATGTACTTATGAGGTTCAGTTTAGTTCACAGCTACCAAGTCTCGAACCTTGTCAAGGCTAAAACGACAACCACCTAACCATTGAGGACAAGACGAGATGGTAAGATGTTTCACATATTTTACTTCTTATCTACTTTTAACGCATTTAGTTTCATAATATATATATATATATAAAGCTTAAATGAATGATTGCTCTTTAAATTATACAATTTGTACCGATTTACCTCTTAAAGTATTTTTTGAGATATTTTATCCCTTTAACTTTAAATTGTTATTCTATTTGTCTCAAATCGTTAACACCATTAAAAAATTTTATGGGCCGATAAGAATATATCACGTCACCTCTTAAATTTTATTTTCTTTTATCTAAATAAATAAAAATCAATTAATAAAATAAAATAAATAAAATACCAAAATTGTCCTTTTTTCCATCAACACCACACCCTCCTCCAACCCAACTCCCCTGTAAATCGATAATAACAACTTTCTCAATTAATCAAAAGCAAATGAAGTCCTAATATTTCTACTAGTTTGAAGCGAAATGCAAACATGAATTAACCAATATTCTTAAGAAAAACATTGAAGATAGGAAGCCTGATTTGGCAGAAGATATGATTATTCCAAGTCCCAACAAGTTTTTTTATAAACTAATCAGAAGTAGAATTCTTCTAAGTTTCTTCAAATTTTCTCATCAAACAAACAATCATCTGGGAAAATTTGCCACCATCGTTATTGAAATTTTATTTTGCTTCAATCCATTTTGCTTTGAAAATCCATTAATTAGCCCACAAGAAAAAAGGGAGAGAAACTTACAAGCTTTGATGGCTCAAGAACGGAAGCCATTCTTATGGGCTCTTCAAGAAGTAGGTGATTTGAATTTTATTAATTATGATAGTCTTCTCTATGCTTATAACAATAAAATAAGCGTACAAAACTTTGAGGTGTATGTGAAGGACTCAAGCTTATTTGATCTTTTAGTTTTGAATGGGTTATAGTTAGGGATGGGCATAGGTCGGATTTGGGTCGGGTTTCGGCCAACCCGTTCCGACCTGAAAAATATATACTATCTACCTGATCTGAACCGATCTGCTTTTTTGAGATAAAATCCAAATTTGATATGACCCGACACAAAATAATAATAAATATTATTTTTATTCAATAATAAAAATAATGATTTAATTAATATATATATATATATAAGGGTATTATTATAATTATTCATAAATATAAGATAAAATTATATTTTGTTAAAAACATTTTGATGTTTTGATATAACAAATTAATTTAAATGAATTTTAAGATTTTACAAAAGATTTTCTAAGTATATTCGATGTAATTATTCGAATATCAAAATATTACTCCAAGTCTTTCAAAGTTCATTTTAATCCTTACTAAAGTGTAAAATTGTGTTTTATACTTAAACTATTTTTAAAACAATTTTACAAAGTATTTCGAACCATTTTAAAGCCAAGAAAAAATCAGATTGTCCAGCGGGTACAGATTCCCCCCAGGGGGTACCGATTCCCCCTGTCTAACAGTCACAAACATATTGCACTTAGGGAACCGATTCCCCCCACGCTCCAAGCTGTTTTATTAATTGTTTCTCATCTCCAAACGGCTCCAAAACATCCCCAACGACTATATACGACTTCAAACACATTCCAACCTATAAATACAACCTAAGGACACTTGAAGAAGCAAGAGAACAACTATCCAAGCAATCAAATACAAGAGAAGAGTTTTTTATTATTATTTCATCTTTCTCTTGTAAATATTTTGTTCTTGTGAGCTTAATTCTTGTAAACACCTACCTTAGAGAGGT